TGATATTTGTAGTTATTTTTGCTGGAGAACAGGTGACTCTTTCATGCGGTTATACAGCCTCCAAGTCTTCTAAGACCTAGGATCTCAGAAGTTATCCTAACTGGATGATGTCTCTGCTTTGAACAGCTGCACAGCTAGTGTGGCTGTAAGGAGCTTTTTCTCTTGCATAAATTCCTAGTAAAACTGGAAGGAAGATGTAATCCGTTACCGATTAGGTCAGGAAGAAGGAAGAATGAGACTGATTGGTGTTGAATACCTAAACATTTAGTATCGCTTTCAGATGCTCCTTAACAATTTACAGTTCTCAAAGTTCTTACTGTTAACATGACCTTTCTCCCAAACAACAATCTGGTTAAGTATTGTAACTGCTTTTAGGAACTATGGAAGTTGCCCAGAATTAAGGCAGGTACTTGGCCACTGGAAGGGCTTTAGACAGGTATGAGTTCATTCTTTTTCTTTAAACAGGAGATATGAAGATATACTTTGATAGTTACAGGCTGGGTTCTTATTTTCTTTCCTTCAGCAAAAGCATTGCAGTATGTTTGCATTTTGAGAAAGAGCATTTGGCTTGTAATGGGGGGCGGGGGAGAAGAGGTATACTGTGCTGTTACATTCAGCGTTTCACAAACCATTTGCCATGACTGAATCCACATAAGGTTGGAGTTTTTTAAAAAAAAAAAAAAAAAAAAAGCCACGATTGATTTAATTTGACTTTTCATTCTGAAAGATTGCATAAAAGCAGGATTTTATACTTCACGTGTTCTACACAAAGTCCATTCGGAACTGATGTTTCTTGAAACCTCAGTCAGTGCAAATGGTAAGGAGGGCTTTATGTGAGCATCTACAGCAATAACATAGTATGTAATCTCAAAATAAAATGGCATTTTTACCATTAAAATTCTGCATATCTTTCTTAGGCTACTCCCTGGATATGATTAACAATTTAAAACAGTGTCCTGAGAAATGCTTAATTTGTGAACATGCTTGATAAGTAAATATTAAATGTGGCGACGTCAAAGCCGTTTAAAACTTTAGTCGTGATTTCATGATTGTCATCAGAAAACTTTTCCTACTTGTTAGAAGTAATGCTTCAAATTTCAGTAACTGAAGAATCGTCAGAAACTGCTTTTGGTTTTATTGCTTAGGATAGAGCAGTGTAGTTGGTGGCCTGCAAGCTGACCGTTACTCTTCTCTGCATAAAGCCCAACAGGGAAGGGAGCAGCAGTCCCTGGGAGCATGTGCAAAGATGTCAGGTGTGGGATGCCTTGCGTGTGCACCTGGGCTTGCAGCTCCAGGAGCTTCTGCATCCACAATGTGGTGGGGGGAGGTTCTCAGCATGCAACCAGACAGTGACCATGGATGTGCCCCAAACCTGGCAGGTGGCCCGTGGCATTGAAAAGATTTGATTACCCTGTTTCAGGTTATCTTATCGCATGTCTTCTATCAAGTTAGTAGCCTTTTCCCAGTCAGTTAAATGCTCGTTCCAGGGGAGCTCTGCTTTAGTGCGCTTTTTGTCTTAAAACTGTGTTTTGAAACAATTCATTTACTCTTCATTCCCTTTGGTGTTTTAAAAGGAAGAAAAATCTAAAGAAACAAAATCCCATTTTTTTATCAGACAATAGACTTCTCTTTTTAAAGAAGTCAGTGTTGAACAAACTAAGGTAACTCTTAGATGAATTTCAACTGATGCTTTTTTTCCCAAAAACATACTTCACTGCATTTAATATGCGTTTTTAGGTGCAGTAGCAGTGTTGAATTGCTCGTCCTCTGTTTATCCAAACATGATGCAAGTTTCCTTTGCTGCTATGTGCATCTCTGGAGTACTTGTAGTGGGAAGAGGAGAGCTTAGCTCTGTCTGTGTAGGCTTCCAAGTGTAAGTGCATGTGCGCGTATCAGTCTGATGGAAACTCGGTTGAGTTTTACAGTAAGCGAAACAAAATTGCCATCTGGCAAATCTGGTCTGAATCTGTTTATCTGGAGGCAGAAGTCTCTTTAGTCATCTCAATCTCATCAGCCTGTAGTCTTTTTGCATGTATTTCCTTGTCTTTGTCTCATTGCTGCATGTTCTGTTACAGCAAAAAAGGCTGAGAACTAGTGACCAAATTTTGTGAGACGTTCTAGAGAAAAACTTTAAAACTGCAGATAATCTTAAGAAAGGGGGGAGGGGCTGCTGAATTCTTTTGAAATTGCAAGGCTTGGGGAAGGAGGAGAGTTAGAGACATCACAGGTTCAAACTTCATGGGAAGAGTGAGCAAAATGCACAAGCGCGTGACTTCCATTCCCTTTTAAAGAGACTTCAGGTTTTAAGCACCTCTGCCTTTTGAATAAGGAAACAGGTTGCTGAGTTTTAAAAAACCATTTCCTTATGAGACCAGACCTTACTGCAAGAAATAGATTGGGAAGATGAAACTGGTAGTTTGTATAGTCTGCTTGTCTTTGGAGTCTCTTTTCCAGAAACAGTCTTTCAGCTGCTGGGATGTGGCCAATTCTGCTCTTCAAACTGTGCTTCATGATAGGCAGTTCACACCCAAGCTTGCCACCTCCTGACACAAATCTGTTGTGCTATTTCACTATTTGTCCTTCTGGGTGTTAGCGGACAAGCTTAAAAGAGCATGAGCAGTTTGAAAGCTAGACAGCTTAAACAACTGTTTTGTTCTAACATTTTAAGTTTTTTGCCCTTGAATTTGTCCATTTTGGTGGCTTGACAGTTGCATTTCTGGGCGTGTTTTCTCTTTGCTTTTCTCTTGTCTAATGTGCGTTTATGGGAGCTTAGTGCAGGGGCTAGTTGCTATCAGTAACACAATTTAAAATAAGAAAAAAGGGAAAAAAAAACCCTTTTTGGTCTAGTTTCTGAGGGCAGACAGAGTAATTCTTGCACATTAGAAGGTGACAGGGATGGATAACTTTTGGAAAGAATCACTTCTAAAATTCTGTCATCTAGGGGACTAAATACTTTAGGTGTTAAGAAGCACTAAGCCTTTCACTTTCAGGTCATTGGTTTACTTATATAGGTCAGGTGAGTAAGTAACAGTATCTGCTGCCGTGCAGCTGCCAGATTGTAATATATCACAGTCTGCATGAGGGAGATGTCTGCATGACAACTGATACCTTCAGCTTTCAAAGTTGTTTAATGCAGGACCTTCAGTGTTGTGGTCTTTTTTTAAATGAGTCATAAACCTGGGGATAGGAAACACACTGCTAGTTTAACTCTTAGTAGGTTAAGGGGAGAAACGTTTTCTTACTGCTTTGGCTTCCAGTTGCCTGCCATTTCAAGTTTGTTTCTCTTATGTTGTGTGGTGGTTGTGGTTCATGGAAAAAGTTACAGATGGGCGAGGATGATGAGCAGGGTGAAAAAGGAGGAGGGTTTTTTGACCACTTGATATATGGAACCAGGCCATGTGCTGCTAGTGAGTCATGGAAGGAAAAGGATTGAAATGGCCAGTGTTCAGGAGGAATTTAAAACAAAAACGGAGGGTAGGAGAGAACTGTGTCACTGGAATGAAGATCATTCAGCAGTGGCTTAGTTAGGAAAACAGTTATGCAAGTGACCTTTGAGACCTCCATGGACTCGGGAATCAGTCCTTTGAGAGATGTCTGAACTGCCTGTTTAGCTTGCCATCTATGATATCCTGTGATAAATAGACATGTCCTTTAGACCTTATATTTACTTAACAAGATCATAACCACCATATTTCAACAGTGTTGAGTTTCTAATTGCTGAACTTGTGTTTTTTTTCCTTGACGGTATTTGCTAATTAAGTTGTGACGTTTTGACCTGAGAGGGTTTGGGGTGAGGGCAACATAGTGAATGCAGAGATGTAGGATTACAGAAGTCTAGAATAGGTTGGGTAATGGACAGAAGAGACGGGAAGCTTCAAAGACCAGAAAGGTGACTAGATGACTTTTGTGGTTTAGATTTCCACGAGTTCAAAAGTTGGGAAATAAAATCCAGTTCTTGGAGCAGTGATGTGTAAAGCACACTCATGTTCATGGTGTCTGTCTGTCTGTCAGCGTTAAGATGTCTGTCTTTATCAAGTGATGTGGTGCATTTAATTTAAATTACTCTTGCAGTAGGTAATAGGCCTTTCCTAATTGCTTCTGTTTCCAAAATCATAATTAAAATTCTTCAGCCATTGATCAAAATTTTTCTTTTTTTTCATTTTTTTTGCTTGCACTGTTATGTGGGATAGAGTGTATGTTTAATTTATAGCTGACGTAATACCAATGTCTTTAACTCTCCGAAAGGAGGTACCCTAAAAAGGAGTCACAATTGATTAGGATTCTTGTTTGTTTGCTTCTAGGCAGTTGTGTCCCACTGGTGATTCCAGTTTGTGTTTGTGGTAACTGAAAGTATTACACCAAAGCAAATGAGCAGTTTGTTGTTTTGGTCTCTGGAACGCCAATTCCTGGGGCCTCTAGGACTTGAAGACCTGGTTAATAATTCTGGCCTGTGTTAATGTTGTCCTTCCGTTTCCACCTCAAGAGAATGCAGTCGCTCTTGGTTCCCTGATCTCGTTTGTCATGTGTCTTCAGCTTTTAGAACGTGTGTGTATGTGTTTCTATACTACTACTTAATAGTGATAAGAAATCCCTGAGGCTGCTTTTCCTCCATTTGCCATGACAAACTCCTCTCTGTGTCGTGCCACAGCTCTGAAATAGGCACTTTTTTTTTCCGGATAAAACCTTTAACATCCTACCAAATAGAAAACAGTTCTCCCAAGGTGAATGCTTAAATATTGCTGGAATAAATTTTGTAGATCAGTAAGGTAACAAGCTTTAGACAAAGGAGTCAGTAAGCATGAACTTGCGTGTCTTCTGTTATCAGAAATAAGTGTAATAGTATTGACATCACATTCTGTAGCTTTGTGTGTCAGTCCGGAGGGGTAAAAGGACTTTAATTGTTACTTGTTTTCAAGCAGGCTTATCAAATGATGTAAATTAATTTTTTTTTTTCCTTTCAGTACTAACTGGATTACTTGTTCCCTTCTCCTTGCAGGCTTTCAAAGAGATGCTGTATGCAGCTCAGGACCAGGCCCCTTCTATAGAAGGTAAGCAAATCTTAATCTAGTGCCGTGTTTTTCTTGGCATTGGATACTGGAGGCATAATACAGCTACTTTTCTATCCTCAATCCTCCGAAACTGGTAAACTTAATACACTGATGGGCAAAAGCTTGGCCTTTCACATTCTATGGGCTATTTTTGATTGTTGGAACAGTTTGTCCTCTGTCATTAGAACAATACATGTCTTTGTATGGTTTGAGACTTTAACAGCTGAGTTCCTCTTACTTATAAGAACATTCACTGGTGGAAGTAATTTCTTCATCACTTCAGACTAGACCTTTGTTTTTCTGTGACAACTAGTCACTTCAGGAGGTAGTTGTGCTGAGGAGATACTGGTTCCTGATCTGTTACTGGTGATTTCAACTGTAAGAATTTTTTCTTTTCATCCTGTGTCCTCCCTGAATGCAGTTTTACATCTTTTATGTTCACATGAGTGTGTTTTCTTGTTTGCATGCATTTACTGCCACTGAGTTCTCTAAATAGATTTTTTTTTTCTTTTTAAGAACAGCACTTTTTTAGCTGGCTGCATTTTGAATAGTTTGTTTAATTTAGTTATGATCTGCACAGCATTTCTTCAATATAGTCCTTTACGTTCTTTGTCTATCGTCTTCCTTTTGTTACCTTTGAGGTATTGAATAGTTCTTGCCTTTATGTTGCTTCAGTCCCTACTTACTTGCCCTTCATGTGGATTTTGAACTTTCTTTTCCTCCTTATCTTTCTTATTTTTAGTTTGATTGTAGTGCAATGTTAATTTCACAAATCTCTTAACTGCAGTTCTGGACTTCACTTGTGATATATATATATATATATAATATATGTGTGTGTGCACATGTGTATATAAATATATACACACACGTGCACATGAGAGCGTGAGTGGGAGAGAACGCAAACGAGTGCGAAAGATAACTGCTGCTTTTAGTGTGGTCAGTTGGCTAACATGAATGACGTTTTATGAAATGGTGTTAAGCATACCTTTTCATTAACTGAATGCTTTGCCTTGCTCTGTGTTGGTTAGACTCAGGGAATGAGGTGTGGTGTGGTTAAAATAATGTGGAATATTAATTGGATGGATTTAACTGTACTTACCTGCTCTTTGATTAGAATGTTAAAACACAGTAATAGTTAATAAGCTGTTTGTGTGTATGTGTGAGATAGAGCAGTTATTAGTTAAACTTCTCAAATGCACAATCTAGGCTGAAAGGTTCTTTTAAGCGATGCTTGGACCAGTATAATTCTTAGATGTAACTTGACACTTGGCTGCTTACTTGACTCAGCCTGCTAATTTTGTTAAAACAGTAACCCTTTTCTCTAAAGTGCGGGTTCTAGAACTAGATTTCTACAGCCAGGTGGCAACGGTCCTAATATTTCCAAAAATAACTCATATTTTTGATAATAGAAAAAACTTGCAAGCAATACACTGGCAAAAGAGGAAAGTCCTGCTTTATTTTTTGAACTGGGGACAAAATTGCTTAAAAACACCGATAAACATAGAACACTAGGTCCTCTGGTGCAGAAAATTGATTTTGTACTACTTGGGAGGGAGAGAAGATCTGTGTAGGTCAAACTGGCTATCTTTCTTCACTTTTAAAGATGATTCACTAATTTGGTTGGAAATTCATAATTAGTTTTATAGAAGATGGATGATACACAAGGCTTCTTTTCCTTTTTCTGTCAGTTCATCGTTGACAGGGAAGTGAATGGTATATTTACTAATAAAAATCTGTAGTCTAGTGTTGGAACATGACTTCCTGGATGTTGCTTGTGATATCCAGAATCTCAAGGTGACTTGCTGTCTAAGGACTAGATGGACTTGGAGTTGCTGAGGTTCTGTGGTCAGACAAGAGGAGGTATATGGAAGCCACTTCTGTACTAGCAGAAAGGATTGATCATAGCCTTTCTTTTAAAGTAATTGTCTCGCAACTGTCCTTCATCCATACGAGTTTGTTGTTTGACTTAATGGCTGCATGTATATCAAACAAGGTAAGAAATGAGTGTGCTCACTTTTCTGGGTCGTGGTCTTTGGCAATATTGTTGAGCCACTGGCATAAAATTTGAGGTCCTACGTAATACCGTGTGAATGCAGAATCCTTGGTATACTCCAAGTTAAGCCTGAAACTCCATACCTAAAGGCATTTTTTTTTTGTTTAGGTGTAACTGTTTTCCAAACAGTGTGGGACTTAGTGCACATCTTAAAATGCATAGGGATGCAAATCTTCTATATTTTTGTTCCTAAAATTTAAAGCTTTTATTAAGGATCAGATGATACTGCATAAGCTAAGCATAAAATTCCAAGTGTTATAATTCAGCATTTTTATTTCTTTTTTTGGTGCTTGTTTTGGTGTATTAATGTTCCATCTTTTTGCATGCTGTAATGTTTGTGTGTAAACCTCTTTGGCAAAGGAAGAGAAGATGAAGAATAAAATGGCATGTTTATGTTGTTCTCTTAAATATTTAAAGAGTTTTACCTTGTGCTTCTACCTCCTTTGATAATTTCAAAACCTGAGCCGCTCATTTAACTGTCTTGCCCAAACTGCTATGCTACTAACAGCTACTATTTCCCTCAACTTTTGTTAGTTCTAAGTGTGGTTGGTTGAGAAGATCTTATTGTGGTTACCAGTAGAGGAATGTATGGGTAGTGGAGTTTATTTCACTTTACAGTGTTCTTTCCCTCCCTTTTTCTCTGTGCTTAGAATCTGTTTTGCTCTTTCTGTTCTGGCTTTCCCTCTGCTAAAAACTTGTGGGTTGCCCAGGATGGGACTGGGCTATTTGCACTGGTGTCATTGAGCTGTCTACAAGGGCAGATATATTTGAGTCAGTGGATTCTTCTTCCATTGACCATAGGAGTGCTGAGATAACAGAGGGAAGGCAAATATCTTTCCATGAGCTGCAGCTTTAGGAAGGGGTTTGTACTGGCTGGAAATGGATCGAGATATTTCTGTCCCTGTTGCTTACTTCCATTTCCCCTAAGCCCTTCTGCCGTTGCCTTTACTTGAAGCTGTGATCACTAGTTCTCAGCTTCATAGTTATCTCGTGTCTAAGATTCTTCAGTGTAGCTGAGGCGTTTGTAGTAACAACTGAAAATGTGAAGCCAAATTCTACGTTTAGGAAACCACTTAAAGGGATGAGTAGACACTTGTAAAAATCTTTATTTACCCGTATCTGGGCTGCATAGGCCTCATTTGTAGAGGCCTTAGGCCAGGGCTAGTGTGTGAGTACACACAGACTGTGTCCAAAACTCTGCTCTAGTCCCCATCACAGCTGATGGAGCAAGTTCCTTGAAGTTCCGAGACGATGTAGCAACTATTGTCTGGGACTGGTTGTTGCCCTGCGTGTTTTCAGTTTACTTATTTTGAGCTTAGCACGGAAACTATAGGAATGTGTTACTGAAACCTTTCTTCCCAGTATGAGTCTCGTATAATCTCATTTGAGACTATTTTAACTAAAATCCGTATTCTAAATGATCTTGTTGATCCCAGACGCTGTAGACACGCGCAGTTGGTTTGGATACACTTTATATGTACTGTGATGCTAATCTTCAGTTAATGCTTTCTGATTTATTACTTGAACTGTGAGGAAAAGTGAGTTTGCTTGCAAAAACTAAGCTGGAGCAGAGTAAGGACTACGTGCATTGCACGTGTGCATTGGATGCAGAGTTTGTGAATGACTTCCTTCGATTGCTGCAGGCTGCTCTTTGTGTCAGATGATAAAACTTGGGCACGTGCAGAAATGCTTCATGTTGCTTAGTTGTCTGCTGGAAGCATTTTGAAAACTGTTTAAAAGATAAGACTGCCCAACCAAGGCACCTGTCCATGTTTTAAAACATTTAACTGCATCTTTGAGTAGCAGGTAAACAATGCAACCTTGATAGCTTTCAGTAGGGTCACATGTAGGACTAGCCTCTTTGTGCATGGGATGTGGATAAAGAAAGTGAACTCCAAAATGATTCTTAAGCTCTATAACTGGTAGTTCTGCTGCTTTTTTTAGTGGACAAAGCCTTACTGGAAAGGGGATCTTGAATCTAGATGGTTTTTACTCTGCTGGTTATCTAGTTATATGATAACCCTCCTCATTTTGCTAAATTGAATCACATCTCTGTCCATCTGCTCTTCCCCATTTTCAAGTTAAAAATGCAAACTGTGATGTTAAACAAAAACTCCATAGATGTGAATAAGCAAAGCTGGTCAAAGCTGTGTGATAGGAAGAGACTTTTTGCAGCTGCCTTTTCAATGTAGTTTATTCCACAGTTGTCTCCTGCCTGCTGCAGGAGCAGTACAGTACTGGTGCAAGGCACTATGGCTCCCTGTGCTGCCTGAGAGTGGTACCAGACTGTCTGCGTGTCTTCTGTGGCAGAGCTGCTTGCTAAACACGTAGCTTTATTAAATATGTTCAAACGTATCATTTTTTTCCTCGTCTGCTTGCTTCATGGTGGCAGTTTTCTTTATGCCTGTGTTGTTCCTTTAGAGTCTCATCTTATTTTTATGAAGCTTTCCATTGATGAAAACTGCACCATCCTTTCTCCTGAGCGACATCTGTATGGAATCAGTGTTTAGTCCTGTTACTTCTTCCAGTGATGTGTATGAGATTGAATTATCAAATGGTGATTGATTCCCAGTAGTATGATGGGCCTTGTTTTGAATTTCTGGAGAATCCTTTGATGCATGTTTGCTTTGTTTATGGTATGCTCTGGGCTAGTTTCTATTAACAGACCGATCTGAACAAATTGATGCTGCCATGATGATATTCTCAGCTTCCGAGGCCTCATGGCATGGCAGGAAGGCCTGCATGACAGTGTGCCAGGTCAGTGCAAGCAGGCACGCAGCCTCTATTCTGAGCTACTCTTAGTAGGAAGCTGTGACAATTTAGAGGTGAAAACCTAACGTAGTACTTGATTTCTCTGCATCAAAATGTGCTTTGTAACGAAAGCGTGAAATACTGACCTCACAATGAGCGTGCTGATTTTAACATTTTTCCCATTGCTTCCTGGCAG